CAAAAGATAACAAAAGCAGCTGTAGATCACACGAGCTTGTCGCATCCATATATCTCGTAGGCTAAGAGCACATGTTAAAAAAATCAATAATAAAGCTAGGCTACCCTATAACCCTCAGAGATAGAAATCTAATGATATTACGTTATCGTATAATGCATCACGTTATCAAATCGGAAAATACCAGGCAGACTGTGTGTGACTGTAGAATATATCAGCCTGACATGACAGCAATGCCATGTTGTGAGAGAATCAATCAATACGCGAGGAGAGTCATTCTCAATCTGCTGCTTCTTCATGATCCACACGTTTGCTTTTATGACACATACTCATGTATATTCTTGTTGTGAGAGAATCAATCAATACGCGAGGAGAGTCATTCTCAATCTGCTCTCTTCATGATCCACACGTGCTATGACACATATCATGTATATCTAGAAGAGGCTGTCAACATCTTTGTCACTCTCCATTTAAAGAAACTGGAACTAAGCACCATAATGTGACATGCCGTAAAAGCTACTGTCAGTTCCAGAGATTTATGCTTTACTTTATATGAGGGTGACACAGACGTCTAAACATGTTTGCGTGTTTATCAATGCGCTGATTATGCATGCTTTGCTTTATTCAATTTTGTGTGCTTGTTTGTACGTTATTGTACACTGTTCATTCTAAAGTAAAATATTTTGAAAGAGTTTGCTCTAAATGTCCACCTTCTGACAAAAAAGACCCACCCCTCTTGGAATGCTTGCCTGAATTAGGCGATTTTCCCTATTCTACGTTGGCTGCTTGAATTCCAAATCTTACATTGCTTGAAGCACACATTTACCAACTCACAGTCACAGGTCCTGTTACCCGCACTCATTTTCCGCAAAAAGACTGATCTCGCGTTTCTCTCTAAGACAATGTGAAGTGCCATAACTAATTAATAGTGCCTTGGGGGGGTGGCAAAGCCATGCGTGGACTTCTGCTTGTATTCTGGACAGTTGACCGTGGGCAGGTCACCATCGGCTATGTAGTAATTTCTACATTCGTTTGAGGGGGCGGGAAGATTACGGCCCTTATGTGATATAATATATGAATTGTAATCTGTGTTTGTTGCGTGCATGTAAGAATATTAAACATTCGCCTTGTGTCGCCGTATCACGTTCTCTGGTTGATAACGAAATGAAACCCTTGACTAACTTCCAATCCCCAATGTTGGTCTGAAGAAACATGTAACATGAGCAAAACCTCAACCAAAAATCTATGATTAAAAAATATATGATCGTTATACAACAACACAAGGCGAATGTTCACTATTCTCACATTCACACAATCAGCCAACGATGGAGTACTATCGTTCCGTGGTTCGTTTGACCTTTACAGCTTTTGAACGAAACAAGCCGCAGAGCTGTCGATCGAGTTATAAGTACGCGCTGTTTGAGCCGGAGAGAGAAGATGAGAAATAGCGCGGCTTGAGCAGCCGATTGAAGCTCGAAAATAGATTATAACGCACGCACGCACGCACGCACGCACGCACGCACAGACGCATGCATAGGGTGTCCGTGGGTGTATACAACACACTGCGGTCACACGCACAGATGTATGCATAGGGTGTCTACTGGTGTATACAACACACTGCGGTCATACACACGCACACATGCATGCATAGTGTGTCTACTGGTGTATACAACACACTGCGGTCACACGCGCGCACAGACACGAATGCATATAGGATGTCCGTGGGCGTATACAACATACTGCGGTAATACACATACACGCATGCATATGGTGTCTACTGGTGTATACAACACACTGTGGTCACCCACACACACACACACACATGCACACACACACAGTGTCGGTGGAGCTGACCGGCGGTCAACCGAGGCTGACGATCGACCACGGCACGGGCAAGCTGTCGCTGACCGTCGTGTCGCCGCCGCTGAACGACGGAGAGTGGCACCAGCTGGACATATTCGGCGACGGGAAGGTTAGTTGGTAGAGGGAGGGTTGAAGAGAGGGATGTGGAGGGTGGGAGAGAGAGGAGAAGGGAAAGGTTGGTTGGGAGAGGGAGGGTGGGAGAGAGGGGAGAAGGGAAAGGTTGGTTGGGAGGGGGAGTGTGGGGGAGAAGGTTGAAGGGAAAGAGTGGTGAGGGGAAGAGAGAGGGGGGAGAGGATTGGAGAGAGAGATTTGGTGAAGGATGAGGAGGCTGGGGGGAAGGGGAGAGGGAGGAGAAGAGCGAGAGAGACAGAGAGAGAGATAGAGATAGAGAGACAGAGAGAGTAAGAGAGAGGGACAGATATATATGTATATATAGAGAGAAGAGAGAGACGGAGTGCGTGGGGGAGAGAGATATAGAGATAGATAGATAGATACAGAGAGAGAGAGAAAGAGAGCGAGAGAGAGAGAGAGTGAACAGAGAGAGCTGTATAAAAAGCGATTTCACTCACGAACGAGAACGAACCGCTAAAACTTCACCCCGGTCACCGTAACAATGCCCTCCCACACATAACCTCCCCCATCATCTCCTCACGCCGCCTGCGTCCTTTTCTTCAGGACATCACCTTCGTCGTGGACAAGTGCGCCAACGTCCCGACGCCGCCCGAGAACGGAGCGTACGACAGCTCGGCGTGCGAGGCGCGCGGCACGACCCCTGGTGGCAACTCGTACCTAAACGTGAACGCGCCGCTGCAGCTGGGCGGCATGGCGGACGGTGGCGCCAGCGGTGGCGGATACCCGAACATACCTCACAAGACGGGTTTCGAGGGATGCATCAAGAACGTCGTGCAGGACGGACGCGTACGTAATTTTAATGAATAAAGTTTCGTAAATAATTATAATAATAATAAAATTGATATAAGAATGTATTAAATCGATATGTGATGCTGTCGTAACTTAACGTCTTGACGCCGGTTCCCCCACGCGCAGCCCCCGTCCTGCCTTAGGGGAGATAAAGAGAGAAGGCTAAAGAAAGAGACTGAGAGAGGGAGAGAAAGACATATTATATTATGTATA